AAGAAATTATGTTTTACATACTGTACACAACAATTTACAAAAAACATACTAACAGTATAAATATAAAACACATACATAGACATTATATCGGTGTCAGTGATAGTGTATCATTATGTCAGTGTATGTCCCATACAATCACAGTAAGCCCCTATATTTGCATGATACCCCTTCATTTTTGCACAGAAGCACTTACTGCACTTGTCCATAAATGAATACTTCTTTATTGAGAACTCATTTGTTGACTGAGTGTGTGATAATGGTGCTCCTAATTTTTTTAAGTCCGCATTTAGGGACTCTGAAACGTCTTTGAAGATAATTTTTGGGCAGAACATGTGAGGGATCAGAGAACATACTAACAGCTAGCTAAGATGTATGAAAGCTCTGCTCAAGTGGCTGCCTCACTAACATACTGTAGAATGCATTCTTAAGAGTCTGGACATCTCGATCTTTGTTGCACAGAAAAACAAAAACTTATACTGCACAAAATGGTTCTTCCATACTGCATGACACTTTGTACCACAAAACTGAAAAACATAGACAGAATCTCAATACTCGTACCAAAAACCCATTACCTGCTAAGAAAGAAACTTTGCTTATGTACTTCATTACAAATAAAGTAAAAGTGTGCCTTCCAAAACAGATTAGCGTCTATGGGTATTCCTGGGTATCTATAGGATGTAATGTGAATTTTGAGTGGGGAAGGATATTCTTCTGTTTTCTAGTATTTAAAATGACAGTATTCTGGTTACACCATACAACCAAACTCCAGTATTTCCACTATCCTGATACAGGCTGGGATAATCATTATAATTCATCAGACAAAGGTGGAATCATCGAGACAATGTGATTAGGAATCAGTTTGGACTACTGGCAACACGATCATTCTTATAAAGATTAAAGAGCAGTGGTAATCTCACATACCACTGGGCTATACCACAGAAAGCACAGTATTATCTTTAACCTGCTGCAGTCTTTTTGTAAGGAATGAATTGTACCCAAATATGAGATATGGGCTGATCTGTAATTGAATCATTTTTGATGATTAAATGTCCAGTCAGATTCTCTTAAAAGCCAAAGAAAAGTCAATAAAAGGCATGATAATATACTGTATGTTATGTACTTGTCCAAACGCTTTGAAATATGGTGAGTGAGGGTAACTACTGCAAATTGCTAATTGCTAAGAAAGTCAAATTCAGGGTCCCATCAGTGATGGCAAGACATCTTGATCCTGAGGCAGCAAAGCAGTCTGTTCAGAATACAGTCTTCCATAGTTTAGTAAGTCGCCCGAGTGCACTTTTGCAAATTTGAAATATGTAGCTCGGGGTTCACTTATTACACATGAACCATTTATATACAAATAAACGCTGAATTAGTAAATATAAATCCTTTTGGTTATTTAAGAACCCTTTTGGTTATTTGTTTAGACCGCTTTTGATTCAAAAAGGATGTCAGGAAGAAAATTCTTCCTCCCATTATTTTATTGGGGGTTTACAGAAGTTTTCTCTGCACTGTAATAACAGACACTAATAAAGCACATTCCTCTCTGCCTTAAATGCAGTCTGTCATATAATAAATGCAATTGTTATCTGACAGTGCTGACATGTACATATGTATATGGACACTCTGACATTGCATTACTCTGTATAGATGTTCTAATATTGCTGTAACTTGTGATCACATACTTATGACAAATTTGATCGTTTGAACCTTTGAGAGGATCACCTTTTGAGAGATGAGGCGGGCCAGAACCCCAGACTCCAAACATGCTAGCCTGATGAGCAAGAATACCCAATATTGGGGAATGTGAAGTCAAACAGGAGGTAGGCTATATTTAAAGGGAAACTGCAGTCCCAATTTCTCAGACAGGTTATTTTGGTAATAAAATAAACTCCTAGAAAAAAAATACAAATTTAGAATTAGGCACAAAATTGTGAACTTTGTGAAAGTACTGTAAGTCGCCATGTTGTCGCAAATCCCTGATGTTGCCAGGGGAGAGAGCGAGAGTTCCCACAGACTGTGGCCCCTTTCTGCTCACTAGTCACTGTAATGACTAATGTAAAGTACGAACGAATAAGTACAGGTTGTGCTGCAGACATTTTACCTCAGAAATGTTCCAACGTGATCAGAGTTAAAGAGACAAAAGCGTCTCAAAGTCTAGAGCAATATTTCTATCGTATAAAAAGAGCCATATATTTATTTACAACGTAATAAGGCCGCTTCACCTCACCAGAACTTTTTTTGCCTCATTGAATCACAGAATATGGTGCTGCGCATACCTGGAAATTGAATCTATTTTGTGATTTACTGTAAGTTACAGGTTACTTTGTACATTTTACTTTTATTGTGGTTTGAAATACACTCATTGATGCTGATTCTTTCTAACCCCAAAATATAAACATAGCATTGCAGTTCCCCTTTAAATCTGTCATATGCTTAATTGATTTTGATATTAATGATAGCCATCATCCCAACATCCTAAATACTGTGTGCATCTGAATTCACCATCTCCACCATTACCATGTGCGGCCCAATGAACCGCCTGATCCTGAAATGTAATTTACTCTCAATATATCCAGCTTTTCAAAGGCATTTCTAAGGCTACAACATAACACATCCCACTGTGCTTACAGCTTTATAAATACACTGTATATTATCAGGTTCTGTTTTATTTTTAGTATAATGGCCTTTTCATCCAACCGCTCACTGTTCTTTTGCTTTCAAGAATAAGGTTTTAAAATACACTTATGAAAGATATGTAAAGTCTATGATCATTTTATAGGTCCACAAAAATCAGCTTTCTACAATTGACAAATAAACACTGTGATAAGCAGGCAAAACTTTTCAATCTCTAATTTATGCTACTTATTTTTAAATACTGAATGAAATCAATCTGTAAGAAAAATATGTGTAGCGGCAATGCTTATTAATAAGAAAGAGTTAAGTGTTCTGAGCTTTCCCAAATGGTCCCATCTCTGTTCATCTCTGTGGTGCAGCCACAGAGAAACTATTCATGCAGGCTGATTTAAGGTTTCCTTTGATAAGGTTTCCTAGGACAGCTCCCAAAGGGGGATGCATTAGCTAAGCCTGGCT